CAATTTTAAAAAGTTTCTCAATTTTCTAACTTGTTTCAATAGACAGATTATTCCAAATCAGTCTGTAATAAAATAAGCTCCTTAATGGGTCTTTTCCTCCTGCAAATTCTTTTACTAAATTTTCTTGCCCCACAGATCCATAGCCGCTATTTGAGGCCAGGGGGTTACTTGTAAAAGTCCATGTTCTAACAGTTGTTTCCGCCTGGGTTGGTATCACTCACCAGGCTTCCGAACACTTCGCTCTTTTTCTTCTTTCTTCCTCCTGCACAATGTTTCTCCGGTTTGCCCCAGCTTCGAGGCAGCCGCCATGGCTGCCGCACCCCTGCTGCTGACTCAGAGGGTTTCCTCCGGCCTCCGAGGAACTTGCCTGTTCCTCTCAGCCGTCCAAGGTGTCCCTCTCTTTCCCCTGTCCCTACAGGACAGGTTCGGTCTGCAGACCTGTCGGCGGCGGTTCGACAGTTGGGGTTTTTGTGGGGCTCATCAGAGCCCCGCTATTTCCCCGACTAAATCACCACGACGTCAAACTGGAAGTCCCAACTGTTCCATTGTTGAATGACTCTTACAGGTGAGATTTTGTCCCCCTAATATCTATTTTCTTGTCATGTATATTCATTTGGACATGCTCTAATTTATGCATTGCCATATTCCCAACAAATCCCTCAAGCATACAATGTAACATATATTATAAAATAAAGGATATCTAATTATTATAAGCTTTCTTGGACAATTTGCATTTCACTATTTTCCTAATTATTGGGAGGGAGGGCAGCATAAGGTTATCTGTGGCAGAAATGTGTTTTAGAAGTCACAAAAAAGTACTGATTTCTGTTCCTTCCAAATCTGTTACAGGGGAAATTCTCAGTATATTTTCCTAGTATGTTAGGAAAATTGATGAGTAAATTCTGTTTCAAACAGATAATCCTGCATGTACTTGGCAGCAAATTATATATATATGTAGTCACTTAAACATTTGTTCAGTGACCATTCAAACTTACAACCCTGAACAAGTGATAGTTACAACCAGTCCCGTAGATAGCCGGTCTGTCCTGATTTTATGGTTGGTTTTAAAATTTGATACGGATTTTAAATTGATACATTTTAAATTATGGGCCAAATTTGTTTAATTATTTTAAATTTATTTTTAACTTTATGTATAAATGTTTTTATTTTGGCTGTTCACCGCCCTGAGTCCGAAAGGAGAAGGGCGGTATAGAAGTTTGAATAATAAATAAATAGATACGTACGTTCCAGCATCCTGCAGTCATGTGATTGCCATTTGTGACCTTTGCTGGTTTCCTGTAAGTAAAATTAATGGGAAAGCTGGTAGGAGGTTGCATATGTGACCATGTGACAACCTTACTTAACAGCCCATGTTGTTTCATTTAATATGGAACTGGAAGTGCTGGAATTTCTAAGGTGGTATAGTGATGTGGAATCTGTCACTTAGAGGCATGGTGGCATGGTGATGTGGAATCCACCCACTTAGCGATGGAAATCTTAATCCCAATTGCCACCATTAAATGAAGACGAGGTCAATACCAACACTTTAAACTATATCCAGAACCAAAGCAGTACCTGCTGCACTGAACTAACATGCAAATAATACTCTCATCAGCCTATAAATGGGATGCTGCATTTTGTACCTAATGCAATTTCTAAGGAGATTTCAAAGTCAATCCCATGAACAGAATTAATATCCCTCCTAAAACAAAGTGAACAGCCCACATATGGACACAAGTCTAGATGCAGCTTGACCTAAACAGAATAGAACAGAATTAAAATTCTTTGTGTGTCTGTTTGTATTACAAAACAGGAATCCAGTAATTTTCTTTACAGAGGTTTTAACTTAATTGCCATAATGCCTGGTGATCCTAATCTTCTCTCTTAACCACACAGCATTGGTCTTAGTTGATCCACAGCCTAAAACGGAAACAATCTTAGGTTGCCACCTTGTGTACCAGAATAAAAATTAATTTTCTCCTTTAATAATGTTCTGCCATTGAGTCAAGGTGTGCAAAATTTATAACACTTAATTTCCATCTTGGAGGCAAACTTCTTGTGGGCATACTAGATGTCTTTGGGAATTTATGGAGGTATGCACATGCCTTGAGACCTTTGATCCCTAGGAAATTGTCACATTTATTTTTCTACCAGATATGCATTATTAGCATTATGTTTCCTGGATTCCTTTCATATCTGTTATTTTACTATGCTCTTGTTTTGAAATCAACTTATACCTGCTACTATATTCAGGGAAGAAGGTTGTGTTTGTATATTTGTATTTGTGCAACTCCTTATTGCCCATTTCAAAATAGCATCAGGGAACATAAAACACATTTACTTTTGCTCCATGCAACAAACAGAAAACAATAGGGAATGTTGAGATGGTATTTTCTTAATTATTTGCCCATTTCCTTGTGTTTCTCAATTTTAATCTCTTTCCCTGAAGAAATTAGAGATTTCTAGCCAACTGTAATTGGGTTCATTTACTCCATTCTGCAAGATAAGATCACATTTCTAAAGAAGAACTCTGGGTGGTATATAGTAAAACATCAAAATATAAAATAGTACATAAACATTAAAATGTTAAAAGTTAAATTTTAGAATTAAAAATGTAAAAAGTTATAACAATTTTTAAGGAAGCAAAAATAATTAAACCCTGTTAAAAATTAGCTGAGAAAGGTAAAAGGAGGGCTCTCATGCTACAATTGCATGCTTCTTTGAGCTCTCCATGCAAGACTGCAAAGCCATGTTTTAACCCTTTTTCAGAAGACCAGGAAAGTCAGAGCCCTTCCCACCTCTGGGGCAAACAATATTTCATAGGATAGGGGCAATGGCAGAGAAGACTCTCTTCCTACACCTGGGCTGTTCTTCAGCTGACAGGGTCTGCAAATTATCTTCCCCATATTGTAGGATCCTTGGTGCTCTGAGAGCTTGGTGGTTTTCTTACAGAAGTTTCATCACAAAATTAGATAACATAATCTGCCACAAATATATAAAAATAATAGCAAACTTCACTCCCTTTTAGCACTGATGATGTTACCTAGTTTGGTAATGAAACATCTGCAAGGAAACCAACAAGCTCAGAGAGCACCAGGGACCCCACAGTTCAACACCAAGCAACAAATATTATCTTCTATTGATATATTTGTATGTTTGAAATCTAACTTTTTTGTTTAGAAAATGTGTGTAAGCATGATATAATCTGTTTAAGCACAGCATTTAAAAGTTGTACCACTGCTGTTGAATTGCCTTAATTAAGAGAAAACTAAAGACAGGAAGGCAAAAACTCTTCAGGATGAAAACACCATATGGAAAATTATGCCAAGTCTAGAAAAAAACATTTACAAATCTTCGGCAACTACATGGAATGCACAATAAAGTTCTTTGTCAGAATACATTTATGTTAATAATTTATTTCACTTTTAAAAGTTTGTATTGAAATTACCGTAATTATGTATACAACCATGTCAGTTCTTGTAGATATCAACAAAAAATAATGTCTGATGCTGTATTTTAAGAATGCTGTTTATGGTTGTATTATAATAGAATCTTGAGGCTGTTGGGAAGTCTCTCTACATTGTATTCAAGCAAAACAAGATGAGGTTATTTTCGTAGTTTGGAGGAGGAGATTGGGGTGGTTTGCTAATTTTTTCTTTCTTGGGATTGAGTAATGTTTTCTAGGCCTCTTCCTCTTTTAACAGTTTGCTCATTCCTTGTTGTTTTCCAGAGTTAGGTTTACATTCCAACTCATGCAGGTAAAGTAACAGAATAAGAGTTGGAAGGGAACTTGGAGGTCTTCTAGTCCAACCCCCTGCTCAAGCAGGAGACAATATACCAAACTAGACAAATGGGCGTCCAATTTCTTTCTACAAACCTTCCATGATGGAACATCCACAACTTCTGGAGAAAAGCTGTTCTGATTAATTTATCTGTCAGGATTTTTTTTAAATTTTAGGTTGGATCTATCTTTGATAAGTTTCCATCCATTACTTCTTGTCCGCCCTCAGGTGCTTTGGAGAATAGGTCAACCCCCTCAGCAGTCTTTCAATATCTGAGGGGCTGTCACAGAGAAGAGGGGGTTGACCTATTCTCCAAAGCATCTGGGAGCAGAAGTAACAGATGGAATCAATGAGAGATACAATTCATGGAATCATAGAATTCCAAGGGATCTTGGAGGACTTCAGTGCTCTTCCAGAACGGTGCTAAATCTGTGTCCAAAAACAGCCTTGCTGACAAGTCACGCATGTAGCAGCAAACAAACATGGGATGAATTTGGAAAAAGCTCCCAGAACTCTTTCATGCTTCAGTCCACATCCGAGTCTATGCTATCTTCAGCCAAGCAACTTTGGAAAGACATCAGTTTAAGGCTGTTAAGGCGCTTAGATTTATGTTCAGAAATAACCCGTGTAACATAACAGCAGTATAGCTTCGCATTCAGACAAATTTAAACTCTACTAAAGGCGCCATCCCTTTTGCAAGTTATAAAAGTGGTTGATGGCTGTTTTCCCTATCCGCAGGTGATCATAGATGAGAAGGGAAAGGGGAATCCACCAATCTGGACTTTTGAATTGTTTCAGACTAAATTCTTAACGGCCCCTCTCCAGCTTCATCTCTGAGGCAGGCAGCGCACTTAACGTCTGCATATCTTTCTGGCAATTGAAAGACTGCAGGAATGCAATTAGGCAATCTTGAGAAAAGGCAACATGCCGAGCCTCTCCCTCCACGTGCTTCAAACTGTTGAGTTACGGAAGTCCGGCTCTTACAAAAGAGAGAGAGATATATATAATTGGACAGCAAGGGGGAGGAGCGGCGCATGCTTATTGAGTTGGGTACGATCTCGCGCCTTTTCTCGCGTGAGTTTATTATAGACCCTTCCTCCCCCCACTTTTTAGTGACGGCGATTGCCATAGTGACGGCAAATCGAAGCCCAACCGTCGCCGGAGTTTAGCTGTCATCTTTTTTTTTTTTTTCCCCCTCCCCTCCGGCGCACGCGCATATTGTCTCATTTCGCCGTACAGGGCGGGACGCGCGCGAGCTCCTGCGCTTGAGGGCGTGGGAGCAAAAGGGGAGGGGAGATGTGATGGCGACCGAGGGAGAGGCGGACGTCGAGGCTGAAGTGGAGTGGGTGGTAGATAGCATCGCCGGCTTTCTCCGCAGCCCCGCGTGGTCTATTCCCATTCTGGAGTTTGTGGAGCACAAGTGTGAAGGTGAGAAAGCTGCGGGGCCTGTGGAAATCCCGCCAATAGGCTTGTCGCCGTGTCCGAATGGCCATCCTCGGGTGGTGATTTTCCTCATTCCTCTGTATAGTTGCGTTTAACGGGCTGTGGATTATTATCGCAATCATTATCACCGCATTACGGTAGGTCATAAGGAATGGGAGTGGCTGCTGGTCATGATTCAGCCGAAGCTCAGTATTTTACTATCCCATTGATTTCGGTGAGTCCCCTAACCAAGGGGATGTTTATTTTTTCCCTTACGATGTACAATGCGTAGAATTATTAAACACCCCCTCCCCCAAAATTAAGATGTATTGTTGAATTTAATGGAAACCTACGAAATGAGTGATTTGGAAGGATGGGACGTTCTGCCATAGCAATGTTTTAGATTTTTCAGCAAATTGGAGATTTAGGATGCTGTGCTGCAGGGGAGAGAAAGTGCCATCTATTTTATTTGGTAAGAGTAGCATGCTATTCTTCTTTATGAAGTTTTAAGATGAGAGATCTGAAGTTAAAAAAAAAAGAGTTATTGACATATTTAAAGAAAAATTATGTGGTCACCTACTCATTCATAGTGACTCTGGCCAGCTGACAGAAGAAAAACCCCAAATACAAAATCCATCCCCCCGCCCCCCCAAACAACAATCAAACCTCTTGGTGGGCTCTATATCATCCTGGGGTCCTAGGCCTACTGGTAAAAGCCTGTCTTCCCAGACTTTCAAAAGAGTGTCAAGGTAGGAGCCAATCTTATCTCCATGGGGATGATGCTTCACAGGGAGGGAGCCACACAGAGAAAGTCCTTCTTGTTCCCGTTAGATCACAGGTGTCAAACTTGTGGCGTCACATTGCCCTCACATGACATTTTGTCATGGTTTTTCCCCTTTGCGGAGCTAGGGTGGGCGTGGCCTGCACGTGAAGCATCTGGCCCACGGACCGCCAGTTTGACACCCCTGCACTAGATGGACCTCTTTAATAAAGGGGACCAACAATGTACCCTGCCTCCCTGATCTGGTGGTTGTAACTGGGAAAAGATAATTTTTCAAATAATTTGATCCCAAATAATAGAGGGCTTTAAAGGTGACCACCAGCATCTTGAATTGGAAGCAAATCAGGAACCAGTACAGCTCCAAACGATGCAGTTATTTTGGGTTCTGGTGCAATGGAGTGTGTGGAATTTTAAGTATTTCCCCCCTTTTATCAGGAGGGTTCTGTTAAACTGTAGTTGTTTTCATTTTTCTTATAGTAGGCGTTTTTGTTGTATTTTAGTTTACTGTAAACTGCTGGGAGTTAAAATTATTTGGTGGTATATAAATTTAAATAAATAGTAGTAAAAGTACTAAAGTATACTGGCAGGTTAAAAACTTTTGCCAGTAAATATGTATGTATGTATGTATCAGTGGTAGGTTGCTATTGGTTCGTCCCGGATCTGGCGAATCAGTAGCGGCGGGAGATTCCACCCACCCACCTGGAGGTCTCTGCACATGCACAGAAGCTTGTGCACATGTGCAGAAGTGTTGCATGTGCGCATGTGTGCACGCGCGCCTGCGAGCAAACCAGTAGCGACCAAAATTGAAACCACTACTGATTTGTATGTATGTTTCTTTAATACAGACTATCCCTTGACATCTGCTTAATATTTTAAAGAGTGGGATGAAAAAATATAGAATGCTTTTATTTAATGCATTTATGGACCTTAGTAGAATTAAAAATAAGAACTTCGGTAGCACAGTGGTGTTTGGTGATTATTTTTATCATTCCAGGAGCAATTAGTAGCTGCTTTTCAAAAAGCTAAAACAAAAATTCCTAAAGTAATCTCCTAGGTCTAGGACACTGAAGCTGCTACTGTATTTGTTCATTGAGTCAAGATTACAGAGTGGCTTGGCTCAGATGAGCTGTCAGATCTTTCAAACACTTTCTTGCAGGTTCCTGAAATAAATAAATAAATAAACAAAGAGTGTGTGTGTGTGAGAGAGAGAGAGAGAGAGAGAATGAGCGAGAGAGTGAAAGAGAGAGAGAAAGAGAGCGAGAGAGCATACTAGCTTGCAGATGTGTTACATGCACCCTCTTTGGGTGCCTAAACACCCAACACAACATGTGCCTGCACAACGCATTTTGTACGAGCTGGAGCTTTTATTTTTATATATTTTATATTTTAGTTCAGATAAATGTTGCGTGCAAAATGCAATTTTAAGATATTACTAGATGAAACTATTTTTTTAGTTTGCATATTGTAAAGAACCACGAAATATTACTTTTTTCAGTTTTTGATGATGAGGAAGAAAGCAAGTTATCTTACACTGAAATTCATCAGGAATATAAAGCTTTGGTAAGTAGAATTCCTTAGCCTTTAAAACATAATATGTTAAAGCAGAAATGTGCTGTGTATCTCTTTGAATATATTATAAAATGTAGTTTCATTTTTTGGTAAAATGGGAAATCAGAGATTCTTATGTATTTATATAATTTAGTACTTATGTATTCCAAGAAAATATACATTGATTAAGGAAGTGTTATATGTGTGATGTGCCAACTCACACAAGATCTGAATCCATCTTTTCTATTTTGAGTCTGGATTGCTGTAGATCCCTACAAGAATATATTTTATTTATTTGTTGAATTATATGCCACCCATCTTACTCATAGAATCAGAATCAATACTGAATATCCTTCTAAATGATTTTCACAGTCTTTTCATAGAAGGTCTATTAAAAAGGAAAGGGGCTGTATTACATGAATATTGAAAACTTAAGTACTTTTAATTTTATGACCTATATATCTTTAAGTTTTCTAGGCATAGCTTTCTTCATTCTAGCTATATGTTTTCCAGATAAAAGAAGAATGTACAGATGTTCTGTGTTTCCAATGTTTTCCAAATGCTTGTTTCCCAGTTTCCCAGGCATTTGAGAAGATAAATAATATCATCTTTCTCATGAAACGTTTTGGTATAACATTTTTAGCTTTCTTACTCAACTAAGCCCAAGCAAATATAACCAAAATAATTGCAGATTCTTCCCTGTCATCCTTTTTCTTCTCTTTTCCCTTGCTGAATTTAAAACTGTAACTTGTTAGGGTCTATCCTGCTGCTTTTAGTAAACATCATTGAATATTGAGCTCATGTGTTCAAAATCAAAATTACTAGCTTTTAGGAAAAAGGATTAATCACCTTGAATGCAGAAATAAAATATAAACTAAGAATGTGGATGGAGTGCTGAAAGGGAGTAAAAATATTTGAAATAAAATATTCCACCTACATGGTCTATTATAGAAACAATTTTAACATTCTTGGTAATACTAGTATAATCATTCATGATGGTTTAATCTGAGATTGTTTCTCCTCATCCAGTCCAAATTAGTTCCAAACATTGATTCAGGACTTCCATCTCAGCTCTGCCTAGGTAATGAGTACAATGGACTATTATCAGTGTACTGCTGATATCTCAGTCTGCCTCATACCGCTCCGACTTGTTTTATTTGGTATTAAATAACATGGAGGAGACATCTGAACTTCCATATTGGAGGAACATCTCTCTTTTCCTTGTAACTACTGTTTTATTTTTTTAAAAAATATTTTAGCTACATTTATAAGGCCAGTCATCTCAAACAGTGTGACTCTGTGTCATGCAGCAAGAAAAAAAACCCTATATAATAAAATATGTATAATATACAAAAATACTGAGGGATTTAGGAGTATTTCAGAGCAGATTTGGGAGATGCAGGAGAAACAGAGGAAATCCTGTTGTGGGAGGTCATTCATCCACTAATAAACCTTTCATGTGATTTTAGATGTTAACCTCTAGATTTATATTTATGAATCTGAATCTGATTTCATTGTATTTTGAATGGAAGCCACAACTACTGTATTTCTTCATTTAAAGTAATTTATGTCCCATTTCTTTGGTAAAAAGATGAATAAAAAATATCTGTTTTTGTTGTTTTTTAAAGGTTGAAAAATTATTAGATAGTTATCTTAAAGAAGTTGGAATTAATGAGGATAAGTTCCAGGAAGCTTGTATGTCTCCTCTTGCTAAAACTCGAACCTCCCAGGTAAACTTTTTAACAAAATTAAAAATAGCAGTGAGCAATCTTTTTCTGACTAATATTGTACTTGTTAAAAACCATTTTTGATTGATGAGACCTGCAAGTCATTGGAATTGATCTAGCTGAACTTTTTTGTCCCTTTTCCCCAGTTAGTTTGGGATTTAATGTACCTATTTTGCTACTGTTTTATTTTTATAGTCGGAAATTGGACTGTATGGCACTGGAAATTGGCTTAGTGTGGCACTTGGGAACTACAGAGTGCTCTTAGGGATTTTATGTTGCTCAATTCTCACTTAAAGGCTGCACTTTATCAATTTAGAATAATAGGATTATGCTGATGTATATGAATAATGTTATAAACCACAGAGTTAGGCAAATGTGATTTAAAATTACACATTGAAAATAATGGAATTTATGAATTATTACTCAGAATTGCTAACATTCTGGCCAGACACAAAAGAATCAGATTGGTCCACAGAAAGAAATAGACATGTATTGCTAGTACAATTGGGACCCTTGTTGTCCTTATGGAAGAATTAGGGACTGAAATTTTCCTCAATGGCAATGAATGTATCTTGCAATCAACTAATCAATCAGCTATGAGTTGCTCATAGATTGCTCAGTGGTTCTAGAACAGCCACCGAGCAATTCAGTGTTCAGAACATTCAATGCTATTGAATGCTCACGTTTGGGACATTGCTTCTTCCAATATATCCTTGTTAAAATAAAAAACGGACGTCTCCAAAGCAGTCTTAAAGCTAAATTGGTTTTGGCTTTATGTCTGCCATACCTGAGATCTTACTAAATGTCTTTTTCCTAATATTTTGATTATTGTCATAAGGAAATTTTGAATTGTTTAAATTTTGAATTTGTTGGCATTCTGAAATAAAACACTTTTCATTCCTTTCAGGCCATTTTGCAGCCAGTACTGGCAGCAGAAGATTTCAGATTGTTTAAAGAAATGATGGTCCAGAAAAATATTGAAATGCAGTTGCAGGCCATTAGAATAATTCAAGAAAGAAATGGTAAGAAATAATAAATAGAACAATATTTTCATTTGCTGGGATTAGCTGGAACATGGGTTTAAGTGGATTCCCTAAACCTGGATATATATAGCCAAATCAGATGAATAAAATCAATACTGATCAAGGAGGCTTGGTGGCGCAGCAGTTTAAGGATGCCAGATCTGCTGACCAGAAATGTTTGACACTCTAGTGGTTTGAAGCCTGGTAGCACCGTGGGATGGGGTGAACTCCCGTCACTCGTCTCTAGCTCCTGCCTTGCCCACCCAGCAGTTTGAAAGCATTATGGTGAGTAGATAAATGGGTACCACTCAGTTGAGAAAGGCTAGCTGCAGAAGGAGAACGAGAGCTGGTGCTGGACAACTCGAACGCCATAGCCAGATTGCTACATACCACAGCCAAGCTAGTTATGAAACCAAACGAACTAGCAGTTAGGCTGTCAGGACTACTCTGTAAAGTGTAGATCTTCCTGACAAATGTATGCTATACGAAACAAACAAACAAACAAACAAATAATCAAAGGAAGGTGAAGAGAGGCATTAAAAGACTAAACTAAATAGGGCAAAAAGGAAAAATAAGGAAGGAAAGGAAAGGAAATAAGAAAGGCAATGGGAAGCTGAAAAGGTAAAAAGAAAAGCCAGTATGCAATTAAGATGAAGGAGATATCCTGAAAGGTTTCCTCAGTCAGAAGATTAAGCTAGTATCTTACTAGTTGGCTTTTGTTTTCATCACCCATTGCAATTGCTTGCATAGATAATCTGAAGTATATTATTGCTTTTAAACTATCTTGACAGTGATTATTTACTATATTTACTTGCTTTTCCATGTGTGAAGAAATTGATCTAGTATCAATTGAAAAAAATGATTTTATTAAAAGAAACAAAATCAACCATTCTATTAACATACAAAATATGTGGGTTAAAACCATTTCTAAGGAAACAGCATTTAACAGCCAAATATATTTTCATATCCCCATAAAGGCAATGGCAAATATATCTGTTAGAAATCTTCCTAAAATCAAAGGATAGTTATATTTCCTTGTGCAGTATTTTATTTCATACTAAATACTAAAGTCAGAAGTCTACAACTTAATTGTCAATCTCAATAAATCTCATTGAGATTGCCATGTGTAAAGAGAAATATACATTTCATTTAGAAACAAGCTTTGATGATAATTCAGTTTGCTATCTTCAAATCACGACATGAAAAAATTAAAGCAATATTTTGAATATAATTTATTTTCTACTCTAGAAAAAATTCTTGATTTTGATAATTATTTGAATAGTTTGTCATTACTTTAATCACCTATTGATCCTTTTACTCTTTTTTCACCATAAAATAGGTGTGCTACCTGACTGTTTGACTGATGGATCTGATGTATATACTGAAACTGAAGAAGAAGAAATGAAAATACTAAGAGAGGTTCTTAGGTTAAAAATAGTTTTTTCCCTTGTTTTATATACATGTACTTGGATATGGCCTCTTAAAATAAAATTTGATTGCCACAAGATCCACCTAATTTGCACTTGAAAGCATTTTGCACACATAGTGACTGAGGATTCATTATTCCATTCTGTGTTAAATTAGAAATATATGGTTAAGTATTTGGAAAGTTTGAGATACGCTTTTAGCACAATGCATAAGTAAATATTGATTATATTTTTATTGAAGGGCAATGGGAAATGTTACATTTCTTCTTAAATCTTTGTTTTAGATAGTGTCATTGCAAGTAGTCCTCATTTAGCAATTGTTTCTGGCAAAAGAGTCACTAAGCAAACTACATGACAGAGAGAGAGAAAGATGCTGTGAAGATTGCTGGTTGCTGCCTCCTCATTTAGATAAAGTTCTCTTGTGCAGCAATGCCAGTGTTATTTTCACCGCACACGTGTTGTTGTCAGGTGGAAAAATTTGAGAGTAAGTGCAACCATTGCTCAAATAACATTTTTATTAGTTTATTACCGTTGTATTTATGGACGGTCACTTAACAAGGCAGTTGCTAAAAAACCTACTTGTATATTATTTTATTGCCAGGTCTTACGGCATCTGTAGGCTTGGATCCAGAAGGACATTGATAGCAAGTAGTGAACCTAAAGTGACTTTCTTCCTTTTCTGGGCAGTTTTTCCATTTTGCTCAATCAATAAATGAGAAAAAAGGGAGAGAAACCTTGCAGAAACATTAGACATTAGTCTGCTTGTTAAGTTTGTTTTAAACATTTTTTCATTCAATTGCTTAGTGCCTTTTTTTTTTTAACCATGGAATATTTCAGAAATGTATGTCATTCACATTGACTTGAAAGATTTAGGATTGTATTATATTATGGCTGTAAGTTTGGCTGCTTGCAATATTATGTGCTTACTTGAATAAATATAACTTATTTTGAATTTGAGTAAATAAAGTATGTTAAATAATAAAAGTCTCTTACCTTTTGAGAATTTTAGTTTGGAAGTTTCACAGCTATTGTAATTTATTTTTCAATTTATATTTATATAGAACTTCTATTCTGAGAGCTTTTATAGATGGGATCTTCTAGCCCGCTTTTGTTCACCCTAAAATCTAAGCAGAATCTTAAATTTGTTACTTAGCTTACATCCAACAATCCCAGCCTATACTGGGAAATTAAAAAAAAACCTTAACATATTGGAAGAAAATACAGGCAAACTACTTCATAGTTGGGGCTCAATGGCTCAACACACTGAATCTGTTAGCTGGAAAGCTGACAGGCCGGGACAGTGATTTCCTGTCCCTGCTCCTGTCCACCTAGCAGTCTAAAAGTATGCAAATGCAAGTAGATTAATAGGTACCACTTCAGTGGGAAGGTAACAGCATCCCATGTGCTTTTGGGGTATAGCCATGCTAGCCCCATGACCACAGAAATGTTAGCTCCCTCAGCCAAGAAACAGAGATGAACCTCACACTCTAGAGGAGGGGTCTGCAACCTTAAACACTCAAAGAGCCATTTGGACCTGTTTCCCACAGAAAAGAAAACACCGGGAGCCACAAAACCCTTCCCATGCCTGACTTTCTTGAGCAGCCACAAAACTAGCATATGTAGTTGAATTAAATATTCTGTTTTCTTCTGAAACTTATTTCTTTTCTTGGATTTATCCATGGTTGTCTAAACGGGGGTTGAAAAGCTCAATAAAAAGCTCAATAAATTGCGTCCCAGCCAGTGTCGCACATTGTGTTGTGATTCATATTTTGAGTGACAGGGAGTCACAGCAGAGGGGTGAAAGAGCCACATGCGGCTCCAAAGCTGCAGGTTGCTGACCTCTGTTCTAGAGTCTTTATATTTTTATTTCATAGTCACTAGAAGCAAATCTGTTCAGCTTTTTTTCTTTAAAGAATGAATATAGGGATTTATAGGATTTTCTTTAAGGAGTGCATATAGGGATCTCTTATTTTATCCTCAGACCTACAAACCTGTGATGTAGATTAGGATGAGAGTGATTGGCTCTTTGACTCTGCTCCCTATGTCTAAATAACAGAAGTAGTGGTCATGAATTGTGTTCCCTGGGTTACTTATGCCTAATATTCATAGTGTCCTTTCACTTCTCTCCACAAGTCCAGCCTCAGAATTCACTTTTTCCGTGAGGTCTTTGCTCTTTTAATTTTTTGTTCCCAATTACTTGAACTGTATTCTGACTATTACATTCTGTTTCATTGTGTTAGCTTTAATTTTGTATGTTAGTCTTATGTTTCTTATCAACATTTTAAAGAGATATTTCAATAGAGAGTGGTAAAACTAAATTTCTTCTCATTTGTCTTGTCATTTTAAAAACTATTTCTGGTTTGTATTTATTTAGATTTATTTACTTAAATAAACTGCAACCATCATATGACTGTTAAAGAATGGTAAGGCAGTGTATATATTAAAATATTTCCTGTTTATCTTTTCAGGAAATCTAAGGAAGAATATGATCTAGAGCAAGAAAGGAAAAGAAATAATGAGGTATATTGGGAAATCAATTCAACAAAACCCCAAGTGGTTGCAATTATACAATTATTATCTTCAGTAAATTCAGTCTTCAGTAAAAGCTGCCCAGAGTTGCTTGATAGTGAGATGAGTGGTATATAAATTTAAATAAATAAATAATGAATGAATGCATGACATTTATTTTTCGTAATTGATGGAATAAAATGATCAGCATATTCCTACTAATTGAAATCATTTTTTGCAACTCTGGGTCTCGTCCCAGAGACATTTTGGTAAAATTTTCTAATTATTTTTTAATTATTACAAAAAAGAGAAGCTGATGATGAAGCTGAGGTCGTTAGCTTTATTGAAGTTTCAAGGATCCACAGTTCAAGTGTATAACGAACTTTGTCACCAAACAATTAAGTGGAGGCGTAGTGTTAAATCAATCACCGAAGAGCTCAAGAGAAGGGAGATAAAGTACGCATGGGGATACCCAGTATTTATGAGGTTTATGTATGATGGGAAACAATATAGGATTACCTCTTTGGAGCAAGGCATTGAGCTACTTAAAAGTCTGGGGCTGGAATTGCAGGGCGATGCTGCTCTTAAAAGTGCCAATGATGGAGGAAGAGGAGCCACAACATTTTTGTTCCTGACAAACCAAAAAACTGATACTTAGAATTATAATTGATGCATAACATAGTCAACCAATTCAAAAGTTCTTCCAATTAATTGACTCATCCCTGTGCAGTGGTAGTACATTGCTTCCTCGTGACACAATCATGAAAGCTGCCTTTTTCTCAGTACTTAGTTGCCTGTGAGCTGCAGAGAGGTTCACCACAAAGCAGTTTACTCTGCCTCAGAAGATGCCAGTCATAACTGCTGGCAAAACATTACACAAAACTAGATTATGGCCATTTGCCTGAAAATTCATCACTGCTTCGTTGATGCCAGCCATGAAAACTTACATCACTATATTGTTCTGGGTTTGTTTACCCAAGTTACCGTGTTGGATAAGTTGATTGAGATAGAAATTTGCACAATAAACTCCTTTCCCTATACATTTAAGCGTTTTGTGCTAAGGTGTTTGCGAAGTACTGTGAAAAAAAGGTTTTGATAGTTTTTCTTTTTTTAATGAGAGTATTTTTATTTGTGAACTGTAACTTTATAAGAAACATGTTTAATTTGTAAGAAAAGTACAGGAAACAATGGATGAAAGAAAATCTTGCAGAAGCCCAATCTTTCTTTAGGATAACTCAATCTTAATATTTTAATTATTCCTACATCCTGCTACCTACTTTAATAATGAAGAAAGTAACTAGATTTAAATAACATTTATTAAATAGTGTATTTTATGATATGTTGGTTTTTACTGTATTTGCTGCTTTTGTAATACTTAAATTGATTTCTCACTATTTTTTTCTGAAAAATTCAGGCACATGATAAACTGAAATCACCTGATGCTGCACATAAATCTCCAGGACATTTTAATGAAAGTGCAGGACCTAAGAGGTCTCTAGAACACACTACAAAATTGCCAGGTATGATTATTTTCAGATATTTGCCACATTTATATTAAACTTTGTGACTGTGTGTGCTTTCAAGTTCAGCTTGACTCCTGTTGACAGAACAAGTCCATGTAGTTTTCTTGGCAACATTTTTGGAAATAGTTTCTCACTGCCTTCTAGGAGAGTGGCTGACCTAAAATCACTCAACTGGCTTCGGGCTTAATGCAGGACAAACTCACTGTCTCACAGTATCTAACCTAGTGGTTTAACTACTACCTGGCTCTTTTATTAAACATACTTAGGGTATTTATTCATATTTCTGTTGAAAGAAATTTCTTGCTTCAACTAAATTGATGCCAAACTTTGTTAGTTGGGTGTTAAATATCCATTATAGCAATTGGTCAAAACTCCATTATAAACAAAATCCTTATTTTCATTTCAAGATAAATTTAAGGAAGTATGTTTTTGCTTCTGAACACATGGCTACTGGTTATACCAATTGGATGGCACAGTTGGAGAAAAAAGGAAAAAAGTTAGTACATATTCATTGTGTAATTCAGCATTACCTGAAAGTAATTTGTTCATGAAATGTATTTATTTAGTTTGTAGTTTTTCTGTTATTCAAAGTTGCAGCTCTAGATCCAAATGCCAAAAAGCATTTTTTTATTTGAGATCTGTATGAATTGATACTGAATTCCAGTTGTGCTATGGATTTATTTAGTTTTTTGTAGTTGTAAAATGGAAAAAGAAATTAGTGGCTTTCCTTGTCGAATGGCTGAGGACACGTTTCCATCAAATTTAACTGTGAATTGCTTTGCCTATTACATCAAGTTGGCAATTATTCTAAGAAGTGAAAAATTAAATTAGAAACCTTTGATTTTAACTATTCAAGTTATAGATGATTAATATATTCATATATGGCAGACATATGAGTATATGCATTTATTTCAATATATATTTAGGTCCAGAAGCAAAACAAAACGATATATCTATTCAAGATCATTCCTCTGTCAAACTGAAGGAAGATAGTTGCAGGAAAGCAGTTGGGGATGTCTCTGAATATGTAACAAAGCAAGGAGTGCTAGAAGGACGTGTAAGCTGCATGCTCACTTTATTTAAAATATTATTGAACTAATATTTTGTAACACACACACATATAACTTTGCAATAACTCTATAACAATAAAATTTTAGGACCTTATAGATGTTGTGCATACCTAATAATACAAAGCCTTCCTTGTAGCTTACCGATTAAAGCAAGCCACAAGGGAAGAAACATCATAGAAAAACTGATATATAAGCTCAATTATTGTAAAAGTGATAAAAGCAGTTTTATCAGGTATTTAAATGTACTGTATTCATCCCAGGATCTAGTCAGATAGCAAAAGGTAGTAAGTTTCAATGATGGGGAGCAGTAGAGAAGAGTAGACTATTTGTGGACTTCTGTTATGATTAGATCATTCTCTGATTGCTTTGGCGGCATCCGAACCTGGATGGAGATAGGGTTCATTAGATCAGCTTACCCCAATCAACTTAAGAACTCCAGAGGGTTCTATGGATAGCTTAGTGTTCCCTGAAGGTCTGCTGGGCGTTAAGAGGTTCTTGTAAGTAGGCAATATCTTCTGAGTATCTTGGTTGTTGACATCTCTACAATACAGTGTTTGGTACACTACTTCCATCTTCCTTTGATCTCTTTTAAACCAGTTGCTATGTGTCCCTTGGCATTGTTTGACATACCAATTCAAAGTTGGAATTTTCTTCTAAGTTCAGAGATCTTTCCTTGTTTTTCCATGTCTCTTTCCATCTTCTGTGTCTTTAGATGTTGTTGTAATACTACTTCTTATCTCTTCTAACACATGTCTGAAACTCTTTTGTTTAATATCTTTCTGCGATTTTTTTACTTTCTTGGTTTTGACTTCTCTTTTCTTTTTAGCAATTTCCATGATTCGTTATGATATCCACTTGCTTTCTTCTTTTTCTTCATTTTTGGCAGTCTCTTTTCACATTCTACTTAACAAATTCTTTAAGTTCATTCTATAATTCCTCTGGTTCTCTATCAATGACCTTTCTGGAAAATGATGGGCATATCTGCAAGATCTTATTATGGAAGCTGACACGCTTTTTCATTTTAACTTGGAATTTACATATGAGCGGTTTGTGATCTGTTCCACAGACAGCATCTGGCCGTAAATTTGATGCTGTAATGGACTCTTCCATCTCCTTTTTGCAATTATTTGATTTTTATGTACTTCCATCTGCTAATGCCTATGTGTAGGGCATCATTTTGGTTGTTGGAAGACAGTGTTAGCTACAGAGAAATCAATGGAGCCACAGAAATTAGTTAAAATGGTCTCCTGTTTCATTTCAGTTTCCTAACCAACTAAAGTTCCAGTCTCCAGTCACAAGCAGCACATTTTATTTGTATCTTGTTTGCATGTTCTGACAATTTCAAATTGAACTTGATCATGTAAACTTCTGCATCAGTGGTTGGAAGTCATAAATATCAATTAATTTGGTCATTGACTGCATTGTAGCAAAGTTCTTACTTTACCCCACCTAAGAGCAGTGCTATCTTTCTTTACTTTTTATCCTGAATATGATCTTTTGACTGAAAAATCAATTCCAATCAATCTTAATTCGCTGTTGCTTAAGATGTCCATTGTTAATTGTTTGATTTTTCATATGTTGAGCTTTCTGTGTTCCTTTTAATTCCAACATCACAGCAAGATGCAAACATAGGATCACATTTTCCTATGTTCCATGTCGACTTCTCAGATGCAGAGTAAATGGGGAGTTTGGCAGGAAGTGGCAAGTTGTTCCTACTCTTATTTTTTCTACACTGTTTTTCAGTCTCATTTTTAGCTGAAAGAGCATGGTAGAATAAACTTTCTTCTGCTACCCATATTTTGTGATCTGGATGGAATTTGGGAAGGTTTTGAGCAGTTCTGCACAATGTTGTATTTTTTCTCTCGTTTTATAGCAACTGTATCCGATAAAAATGTTTTTCAGAAACTATATATAAAATCTGATTTTTAAATTCAAATAGAAATTATCAGAACTTGGAGCAAAAGAGTTGAGAGAGCGTGAGGACTATCTAAAGCAGAAACGAGATGCATTGATGGCTTTGAAGAAGAAATCAAAAACAAGTATCCCACCACAAAATATAGAAGAGAAAGAAGAACTGTCCACTTCTAAAGAGGTGAAGGATAACAGAATTAAAATTGCCTGTCTAACCATCTGTCTTCTTTAAAGATCAGTCTACTTTGGAAAAACATTCTAATCTGGAAATGTACATCAGTCTCAAGGAGATACTTTTACTAAAACAAACAAGTTAATCTATTTAAAGGCCTTGTTTACTTAGTTGGAGGCAGTGGAGGGCAGATAGTGAAAACAGCTAAATCTCATGAGGATGACTGTGGCTAGAAAAAGTTAATTCAGTTCCTGAGTAGTTCCTGGCAAAACTAATTCCATTCATTCAGCTGCAGCTGCATTGTGCTTGACAGTGTTAAACCTCTTATGAAGTTGCCAAAATACCATCTAAAGTCCAGTGACTGTAGGAAAAAAATTGGGCTACCTTAGAAATTTATTTTGTTTATTTGACATGGCATCCTCTGCCTTTGACTAAATAGGGATAGGTCTAGAGATAGGCTCCTTTGACTCTGCCCATAGTGGCATACAGCTATTTTATGCCAGTGTGATTTTTTTTCCGTTAAAAGTAAGAAAAAAGTGTCTCAAAGTGATAAGCTGCTAGCATTCTTTAGGCCAGTTGAGGAAGGATGATATTGAACATTTTTACTCTCCCATTGATGATTGGGACAATCTTCATTGGCAATGCGTTAAAGCTGTAACAAATTTTCAGAGCAGATAAATAGGAAAACACTATTATAAGGGAATGCTTTAAACATTAGGCATAAATACTGTACAAATAAGAACTGAAATCACAATCACACATATTCCTGTCCAGGACAGAGCTAGAGTTTGCCCTTTCTAATATGTGAAGTAGCATTTTATCTATTGCTTTTCTTACTTTAATATAACCTACAAAATGGTAATGATTTTATTTTTGTTTTAGTGTACAAATAGAAACTAACGTTTATTTACATGTTCTACAAATTGTTTTTGTCTTTTGCCTACAATCCAATTTATCTTGAGTGGAAACTTCATTGAAATCAGTGAGAATACTAAATATAAATGTAGTTAGCCATAATTACTGCAAGCTAATATATATTTTCTTTTCAGGCAATGTCAGAAGAAGAGGAACAAAGATTGTTAAAGAAGCGAATCCTTGCAGCAAAATTAAAAGAAGAAGTTATTAATAAGCGATAGTTTAAAGAAACTGCTTCTAAGGTTATATATTTAACCATGAACTGTTTGCTTACAACCATTCCATGCATTAACTTGATTTTATATATTATAAAAACAGTAATTCTTTAAATTGGTTCAAATGTAGAGTGGAAAGCAATGATTCAATATTTTTAATAGATTCCACTATTTTGTTTCTTGCTACTTCTGATATATGCTGGATCAGGCTGGTCACTGTTGTACTTTTGTTGGATTTAATATTACTTTTTGAACGTTGCTGTCAAATACTTTTATTAAAACATTAAATTGGCTAAACTTAATTTTTGTCTTAAGATAGCCTCATCATCCTAACCAAGAGATGGGAAAAACATACATGGGCAACATCAGTTCATACACTAATTGAAAACTGGGGAAATCTCACTCATGTGCTCCACTGTGTCTGTTATCACAAGCAGATAGAAAAGATTTTAGTATCTCATAGGATTTACTGCTATTCATAATAATGGTACTCAAGGTAGCTCTTTAAATTTCATAGGAATTAATTATATTTGTTGAGCTCAATTCCTATTGTTTTAAGATCAACTTATTTATAGTCTGGATTTAAACTCTGTCATTGTGTGAATCAGGCTCGGTATGCATTGTACAAATGATAGCATGATTAATCAGATTGTTGAATGTTAGCATTTCCAAACCTTTTAAATGAGCCTATGCCATGACTAATTTTTTTAAATATACCATTCAGCTTCATTGTAATCATAATTATGCCAAAGAGCTTTCTAGTATTGCTTATATTTCATTAGTCAGAGTAACTTAAAAACTCTACCTCGGTGGTAAGAAAACTTTTCATTCTTGTAACACAGTATAAACACAGGTCATCCACATTTCATATAACTTTTTATTAAAATAGTATTTAACTCAGACATGTTGGCAGATGTCATCTTAAAAAAAAAAAAAAAAAAACCTTAGTTGAAGGACCCCAGGCATTTGAAATGTAGGCTGTCTTGTGGCAAAGAAACCAGACTAAAAGAACTGAGATGGAAGTATGTACCTGAGGCAGATTGCGTAATTTAAACGGGAGAAATTCAATGCATTTTTCACACCATTGCTGAGTGTTCAGATATTGGCTAAAGTGTCACCTATTGTTTATATTGAAGTAAAAAAAAATCTTTTGTTCTCATGTATTGAAGCAGTAGGGTGAAAGAAAATGATCCAGATGTGTATTGGATCTTTTTTCCAGTGATTTATTAAATAGTTTGCATCCAGGCCAGATGAACATCACTGTCAAGGAAATGGCATACCTTTATTTTCCTATGGTTTGTTATTCAGTTTTATGGGAGTTACTTCTATGAAGAGTAAAGACTTGCCAAGAGTAGTCGAAAAAGTGCAAGTCAACATAGAAAATCTGCTGAAGCAAACTGTTTCTGTAACAACTTCTTCTAAGTTTTCATTGAAAAAGAGAAAAGGAAAGCCCCATTGTTGGTTGCCTGGAGCCCCTAAAGGGCAGAAATATGTCCTTCGGACCACATTGTCAGTCATCACAACACACTGAATCAAATCTAAGAGTATTGCTTTTTCTGCTAGATTTGATTCAGATTAAATTGTACAAATCACTATCATTAAAATAAACTAAAATGGCCACATCTCTAAATTTGAATTAACTTACCATTTACAACAATAAAACAATAAAAAACCATTAATCATGGAATTACAGGGTCACATTTTAATTCCTGAATTTTACAGGTCAGCATTAGTATTACCACATGTATACAAATGGTGTAAAACAAGTACAGTGGTTTTTTTTCCCCCTCAATACAAAATAAACTTCTGTTTCATGGAAAAACTATACTTCATATCTACAGACAGCCCATCTTTTCAAACAATAGTTAAAATTAAAACTATGAAATTTCCAGGAGAAATGGACCCATGACGTATTGTTAAGAGTGACCAATAACTGAGGATTCCTGCTGGTTTCAATTTGTATCACTCTTATCACAATTTGTAATTTAGGGAATTTTGTGTGTGCATGATCTCAGATCATATATGGCCAAACTAACATTAAAATATTTACAATTCAGTTGCTCTGAAAGGAAAAAAGTCTCAAAATTGTTGCCTTCATCAATTCACCTAGTGTACTTTTAGACATTTGCTTAAATACATGGAATGTGTTTAAGAAACAGCTTTATGCTAAACCCCTTAGGTTTATAGTGCTGCATATTAACTCTGCCCCCCAGATTACATATATCGTTGAAGTAAGGTTCAAGAGTTTCTGGTAGCATTTCACAACACCTCCTGCTTTTCCTAATGTGAAATGTGAATGGCTGAAGGAAAAGATTTTTGGAAATTAGCAGGGAGCAATTCCATTCAATGTTATTTCTGTAAAATGCTACTAGTAATTGCAATTCAATTGTCATTTCAAGTACCAAGGTTTATTGATAATTTCTAGAGGGTTGTTTTTTTTTTCCTGGAAAGCTGATGATCTATAGAATGATTTTCCTGGATAGCTCCTTCTAGTCCGCTTGCATTTAGAACCCAGGTTCTTTTTTTTTCTTCCAAAATAATGGAGTTGAGAAAAAAATAAATTTGCCACTCAACATGCACTATGTAGCAGTGTGCAACCCTCTATAATTTGGCTGACTGTGCAAACAGTGGTCCCCAATTCTGATTTTTTTTAATGGAAAGAGAATTCACTATTTAAAAAGAGGCAATTGCTAAAAAAAAAACACAATGGACAGCACCATTACGAAGTTATATTACTAGGTTTGCAACTGAAGCCTTACAAGTTTCTTCTAGCTTGCTACAAACTGGGGAAACCCTGCAATATCAAAATTTCTTCTCCCATCCCCATCCCCTCACAGAACCCAAGATGACTATTTTTTTCTGGCAAGCTTTCATTCCAGGTGCTGATTACTAATCCACTGTTTTAACATTTTAACAGTCTGAATGGCAGACTCCTTGACTAGAAAGGGATTAGGTTCTTTGGAAGCGTGGTGTTCTCAGAACATAACCTTTCTAGTAGATTTTCGTTTGCTACTCCTTGTATTCTCATGTATTTTCCAGGGAGAACGCTTTCTGAGTCAGACTATTTAGTTCAGTCATAGCATTTAAGCACCCTCTATCAGAGTTTGTTCCAACATTTTTAAGAGCCAAGACGAGGTCTTTTTCTTGGGGATGTTTCTTCTTCTTCCTCTTCCTCTTCATCATCTGGATAATCCACAAGGCCAACTAAACTTCCCTGTTGGATGTAAAGAGTCACATGTGAACCAATGGAGAAAGTCCTTACAAATAGCAATGACATTTTCCCATTTTATAAACTTTGTTCTCCACAAAATGTGCCAGCTATCACTCAATGAATTGATTTTAGAAGAGCTTTTCCAAGAAGAGATCAGAGACCAGCAGTTATGATAGCTAAATGACATTGCCATGATAGAAAATACTGGGGCAAAATACTAAGGAGAGGCTTTGAAGTCTTGGTTATGTGGCTAAATAATAAGAGTATAGATGATCTTATTCTCATGCAGCAGGGCAACGTGTTCATTTACAATTCTGGTTACCATGTCTAAGGCTGTCTATATTCAAACTAGGACAATTTAAACAATGTAAACGTAACAGTTGCACCTATGAACATGAACTCTCCTGCATATACAAAATCCAGCATTAGAAACAACCCTAATGCCTATCAATATCAATATGGCAAAGTAGCCATTTCATGGCTTCAATATAGTACATTTTGAGTTTATTAAATATTTAACCTCCCAAATAATACATTTTAAGTGACACATACTATTAACATTATCTATGTATTACATCTTAAGTGTTTCAGCTTGCCTAATTACCAGTATGTATTTATTTAAACATTTATAAGGCTGCTTATCACACGAAAGTGATACTGGCAGTGTAGAAGGATTAAAAATAATTTAATAAAAAGCACAAACTCTACTTAAAATAGATAACATTATTTAGCAGAGCTCACCTAATTATACTACCCAAATGCCTAGGGGACCATACTATGAAAATCATTTCAACTCATGAACTCATAAATTCAGGGCACAACAAAATGTCAAACCTAATCTGACTGCTGAAAACAGTACAAGCTGCAAGTCAATATTACACTGTAATAGACTACTGACAAAAGATATGCAGCTTCACTTTACGCACTGAGCAAATCCCCCCTCTGGATTCTTGAAGTGTTATATATGGATGTTCACAGTAATTGTCCTTATCATATCACTAACATAATTTTAAACTGCAAAACTCCATAACACATGTTTAACTCACCTTTGTGGCTGTGACTGCTGTAGTCAAATTGGCATTCTTGGAAGAAGAACCATTTGAACTTGCTGGTGACGTTTGAGCTGCAACAGATTTATTATTTGTACTATTTGCTCCATTAGTTGCACTGGTAGAATGGGAAAATGTAAATTTGAAGCCACCTGTGGAAGTCCTTTTGGGGAGATTTTCTTTGTCTTCACTTTCTTTTGCTAAGAGAAAAAAATGTTTATTTATAGTAGTCATTGAGATAAATGAAATCCACTAATTCAATCTGTTGTTTTCTTAACAAAATAGCATATTAGTAAGGGTGGGGAGGGGGCATTTTATCTAGCTACATGCTTAGAACTTTTCTGATAAAACCAAAACATGACCCTTGAAATGATGAGACCAACATTCTGTATTGGTGGTTTCCTCTTATTTTCTATTTCCCTCAACCTTGCCATGCACGCTGTAGTCATTTTTCTTCCTGGTTAATCATCAATAGACATCATTTATTCAAAATATGAGAGTTACGCATTGCTGATCACCAATAAAGGAAGCAGTCAACTTTTATTTGGTCTAGAACTGGTTGATCGATTCTTCTTGAAACCCACTGTGTTCTTATTAACCATTTCTATTATTTTATGTTGTCTTATCTTTTTAATCTTTTTCAGTGCCCACGTTCCATAGCGATTCATTACCACTAGAAAGGCAACTACTTTCATGTTTGTTGTCACTGAATGCCCAGCCAACTATGAATACCCAAAAGGTGTGGCAATTAGTTTCCACTACAATGATTTTGCAAAGGGAACAAAGTTTGCGTATGAATGAACAGAAACATACATACAACATGTATACATACAAACTGGTGGTTGTAGATCACTTTCATAGCATAGTTTCACAGAAATTAAGACACATTAGGAAATTGGGTTGTATAAAAAGTTTTTTATTTTTATATTTTTATTTTTCCCAGTCAAATAAAATGCAATGGATCCTCAAACATCCAAGGTATAACATTTCTAAGTGACAAAAGGAACTGGAGAAGACTAACAGAATCAAATCGTGGCTGAAA